TTATTAATTGTTGGTGAGGAGGCTACTGAAGAAAAACAAGACTCATGCGGGATTTGTGGTTCATTTAGGCAGATCTGACACTTACATAAAAGATGAATGGAGCTCCTGTGACATCATCCACTGGTTTCTGAAGTCTTGTTACAGAGACTAGTGATTAATGCTTTCACTGTCACCAACTGGGAGATTTGAAGCCACATACCATAAGAACTGGAATACCGGGAACGTCTCAATGTTCACCCGGTTAAGCTGGAGGACAAGGTTTTTTTTTTGTTTTTTTTAAATGGAGAAAGAATATCAACCAAAAAATAAATAAAACTCTGTTCATTGTTGTGATTTTACAGTGCATGGCCCCATCCACCGGCCCCTCAGTGTGAAAAACAGCCCCAAGCTCTTTATTTCAGAGAAAAGAAACACATTACATGAACGTTATAAACTGATTTGCATGTCAGTGATTGAAAGATTTATTCAATCCCCTTCAGAATGGCTGCGTGTCCATGTGGCTCACATACTACAGTCATCAGTTACATCAGGGACATTATACAGCTGCACACAGCTGGAAGGGCCAACAAGACCATCTGCACGAAGCTTGGTGAGACGGTGACAACTGTTGGTGCGATTATTCAGAAATGAGTGTGGCACATGCAAGATTATTTAAACATAGAATTCATATTATTCATTTTGATTTCACATTTTTCCTTATTAAGAGATTTATTGTCATGTGTTTAATTTATTATTGACCTACGTACAACTATATTTACCCTCCTTTGTGTTCACCCTCACCTGCCTTACTTTAGTATTCTGGTCACAATTAAACAGTTTTAACAGCTCTTAAATGATCACAAGAAACATTTTTCACCACCAAATTCAGCTCAGTAGGTCATTCAGTAGGCCTCCAGGGGGTCAGAGGTCGTGGGGGGGGTGGACTCCCGTTCATTCACGTTTGACCGGGAACACCACAGATGTAACAAAGTTGATTAAAACACTCAAAATTCAGTGAAAGACGCGCTCATCACTTTTATATGTTCAAGCACAAAGTGTGGAGGATGTAAAACTCAATATTTATGAGTTTTTTTTTATTTGTAAATCGCTCAGATTTGACCCGAACACGACAGGAAGGTTTAATTTAGCTATTTGTGGTGTGTTTGTTGTTTGATTTGACCTGCTGTAACTTAATGCTCATCTGGTCTCATTCATGTTTGCTTCAAATAATTAGATTCAGGTGTGCACCTGAGCACAGGAGTGCTTCCTGGTAAGTGTTAGCATCAGCATGTTTTATTGGGCATACTGACTCAGAGAGAGTGTGCGTGTTTCAGTTTTACTTTGACAAGTTTAGACAGGTGAGCAGCTGAAACTAAACCTGTCAGCCTCTCTTAGCTCTTAGCTTAGTTAATAAACAATTAAAAACCTGTCTGTGCTATCTCTAGTTTCATTAAGTCACGTTTATAGACACACACTGGAATGTTCTGTCTGTGGTGATATGTAAGTATCACCATGATCTCAGGTCTAGCCTCTCACATTCCAGTGAATCGAGACATCTGAGAAAGTCTCTATTTATTCGCGGTTTTAATTAAAGATCAAACGATTCATATCTTTAGGAG